GCAAAGCCCATACCGCATAGTCAGCTATAAAAGGCCCCGAAATGACAAATGTAAAACAATTCAAATGAGAAAGCTAACGGCCTAATTTATGTAAAAAAAATAAACGAAAAACAAATATGTACACATCAACAAACGACAACCACTGAATAACAGGCTCCTGACTTGGGACAGGCACATACATACAAAATGTGGCGGGGTTAAACATGTTAGCGGGATCCCAACCCTCCCCTTAACCTGGGACAGTGGTGTAACAGTACAACATAAGAACGAACTATAAAAATGAGTTGAAAAAGGCTTAACTCATCAGATGGATACAAATAGAAAGACATCTAACAAAAACAAATGCATTTTTTTTATTCTTCTCTGCTGTCCAGTAGGTTTCTTACTCCGTGTTTTAATAAACAGCTGCGCCATGGGCGCATGATACGCTTGATATCAAACTCGCCGGAGCATCGCTTAATATTATATTGAAATTAAATAACTCGAGTTGATATCAAGCGATACCCATTATCACTCGTTATGAACCCTATAAATAATTTCTCAATGTCATATCAAAAATTTATAAAAAAAAAATAAAAGGGATGTAATCTATATAAAGCAGTCACCAAAGTTTCATGAAAACTCCTCAAAGCACTTTAAAAATATTGTCCGAAAACTGTAAAATCACCCCTTTTTAGCTCACCTTGCTCTAAAGGGTCAAGTGAACTTTTCTCATCACTTGGTGTCCGTCGTTGTCCGTCGTCGTCCGTTAACTTTTACATTGTGTCGTCCCGTGATGCTCAGATATATACGTCTAGAGTTTTAATTGCTGTTGAACAGATCACAATCTGAGCAGCTTAATAACTGTATTTTAATGTTAAGGATAGCGGATCATGTGCAACGCAAACATTTTTTACAGAAATCTTATCCTCTAATACTTATGGAACAAGTTCATTATAGATAGAGATAACTGTAAACAGCAAGATTGTTCAGTAAAGTAAGATCTACAAACAAGTCACGATCACCAAAACAGAGAATTTTGACATGAATTATATTCTTGTCTTTAATGTAGAAGAGTGTCCATTGTTTAATATGCACTGCAGCACATAGACCAAGGTGAGCGACACAGGCTCTTTAGAGCCTCTAGTTTGTTTAATAAAATCCTATAACTCGAAAATGTAAAATCTAAAATTTATAAAATTCGAAAGGGAGGATACCCCAATAGATAAAAAAAATTCAACGAAGTTTCATGTAAATTGGTTACAGCGTTTTTGAGTTTTGTTCGACATGCTGACGACGGACGGACAACGGTATACCATAATACGTACCGTATAAAAACTGCGGGGTTCACCACGAAAAATATTATTAACTGTGACAATAAAAATACCATAAAATGAAGTTGAAAAGATTATGAGTCTCCTGCACTATGTTCTTAAGACCTTTTTGTAAAGGATCAAATAATTTCTATTTCAATACTGGAAAGTTGTGGTAGAACGTTTTCCGAACAGAAAACTTGCATTAAATTGAAAAAGGTTAATTTTGATCAAAGTAGTAATATGTTTTTGTGATTTATTGAGAATATAATTATGATATTTTCATTCATTAAATTGCATTTATATACTAGAAAAGTCATTTTTTAAAGTCAGAAATAACTTTTTTCTTATTAAACTTTTCGTTAAAAAACCCGGACCATTTGTTTAAAAACCCGCGGACGGTTTCACAGTTCCCCTCGAAAAAGCCCGGACAATAACAAACACTGAATTTAATGGTTAAATACAAGGAAATTGTGCTTCTTTGTTACTCAAAACATGTATAGTATTAAAAATAAGATGTGTAGTCACGTAAAAAACTATTATAATTACGAATTAGTAGTTAATTGACCTGATCGCATGTTTTATCACTCGAAAAAGCCCGATCTACACTCGAAAAAAATGGACAGATTCGCTCGAAAAACCACGATCCTAGCCGGACACTATACCTACCGTGCTTCATATTAATAAAATAGTTATTGGTATATATGCGTGAATGAGACTGCATCCCAATGACAGAAATTCACAAATCAAAGTATACCTTTAAATTTTGCATAAAAGTTAGTTAAAATTTACATTGGTAACAAAACAAGTTCTTTGACTTTGGTTGCCATTCTAGACATGAGCTACACATGCACTTGGTTCCTTAGAGTCTCCATCCTCGTCACACATTTTGCAAATTTACATTGGATTCTTTTGTTTATCCAAGTGGACATTTTGGACAGATATCCATGCATATGAGTCACGGTATTTCTTTATTAGACCAGTGTTGACTAAATGAACAAGCTGGCTATGCAAATTCCTGGGGCGGATCCAGCCATTTTTAAAAGGGGGTTCTAAAACAGGATAAAAGGGGGGTTCCAACCAAATGTCAACATTCAAGAGCATTGATCGTCAAAAGAAAGGGGTGGTTCCAATCCCCAGACATCCCCTGGATCCGCAAATGAATTCTGGTTTATTCTCAACAAGGTCTTAGTGATCAAGAAATCTCCTCTAACGGGTTTAGCAGCAATCTAACTCCCTACAAACCACTCAAGCAAAAAAGTCTCCATTGTCCTTTGAACTCTTCTTTTAAAAGGTTAAACACTTACTTATGTACGTGCAAACGTTTTTTGGCAAACCATTATTTACTTTCTTCATGTTCTTGTTACATGAAATTTTTCATGTATGTGTATATAGTCGGATTGTTGTCTCTTTGGCGCATTCTCCGTTTTCATTCTCAACTTTATTATATACATAGAAAACAGATGACCCAAGGACATTTTGAGAACCTCAATTTACTGAAATTTTGTATAAGAATATAAAGTATTAATATTAAAATTTCAATAGAGCCGGCAAAATATCAAAATTAATACTAACATATAGTATAGTTAGTATAACAGTCCAAGCTGAAATAAAAAAAAATATATTGTAGAAAAATTAGAGACATATATATGTTACAGTGAAATTATAAAATCATGGATTTTGTAAAATCCCTGGAATGATTAGTGTGGTTTTGTAAAATCACTAACACTTTCAGTTATTTTGTAAAATCCCTGAAATTGTTAGGGATTTTATAAAATCACTGAAAACATTGCTAGGGATTTTGTAAAATCCCTGATTGCAAGTTTAAACTTGGTATTAGATATGTGTTTTTCTTAATATCACTAAAAATAGTGAGAAGAGGGCGTCTGACAACCGTCGGTAAACACCTTTCCCACACACCCTCTTGACTATACAAAAATTTCCGAAACCTAGACCCATATGAGCAACATCAACTTTATATTGATATTAATATATGTTGATGAACAGACCAATGATTTTAAAATATTTTTTTATAATAAACACTTATAGCTAAAACTATTGTTCAGTTATAATGAATAAAAGGCATATGAACTGATAGATAATACTACAATTTATTATTTTTTGCATGTAAAGGTTGAGTGACTTCTACTGTTTTCACAATTTTTTTTCACAGTCTCCACATTGAAGAACTTCATATCTACATTAAACAAATATTTACCTTTAATTCGATTTGAAACTTAAGAGTAGAAAAGTTCAGAAACGTGTTTAAAGTTTTATCACTTTGTGTAAGAATGAATGTATCTGAGATATGACAAAAGTATAAAGTGAAGCATATAAAAAGGGCCAAGGTAGCCTATTTGTGCTTGGTTAGATATCTATTCATAGAAATGCAAGTATATACAAAACAAACTTTATCTGTTGTCATTTTAATTATTATTAGTAGAAGTATTTTGTGGGTATAAATTTCTTTTTATAGGATGCAAAATAAACAACCCTTACAGCTTTTTATATATCAATGTCCATGTCAAAATAATATACATGTAATATTTGCCACTGGATCACATAGCCTAAACAAATCAATTTCTAACTCTTTTCATATGTGTTTTTCTCCTCTTATGACGGCAATCACCCTCAAGTACTGTCTAATATTTGATTATGAAATTTGATATAATTTGTTTTATACTTTTCAGGAACTACAGAAGCACTCTATATAAAAAAAAAAAAAAAAAAAAAAACTTACTGTCTTTTTTTAAAGAACTTTTTAATAAAAAAGAATCAAATTATTGTATACAAATTCCCTGAATTTAATCAGGGAATCTGTAAAAAAGAACTGAATTATTTCAGTGATTTTGTAAAATTCTTGTCAAAATCAGGGATTTTGTAAAATCGCTAATCAGTTCAGTGATTATACAAAATCTCTGAAATTTCAGGGATTTTACAAAATCCCTGATTTTACAAATTCACTGTAACATATACACATTTGTGTATATATGTTGTATATATATATGTCTCTGGAAAATGCAGCTAAAATGACCTTTTAATTTGATAAGATTATTTGGAATCCCTTAAAATAATTTCATCGGGTAAAGTCACTAAATTTGACAATTATTAGTATTAAATTTATATGTTTTTGGTTTTGTTTATCTGTTTATTTTGTTAAATTAAATTATTTTGTTATCTTTACTATAGTGCTTCTGCTGCTTTGTGCTAATTTTAGTTACTTAACTAATCTCAATGTGCGTTTTTTTATGTGTAAACTATCATTTTATTTTTGCTTTTGTGTTTTTATCTCATAAGTGCATGCTTCAGTGTATGTTTAACTTTTAAGATGCTTTAAAGAACTTTGTGTTGCATGTTTATACATTAATATGAACTCTTGCTTTCTATGTTTAATTTATGTGTGCATGAATTTATATGTATGTTTTGTTTTATTGTTGCTCTGTCGGTTTTAAAAACTCTTCAGAACTTATGTTTGTACTTGTATTGCATATACCGACTTTAAAAAAGGTTTGTCTTATGTCTGTCTAACTAATTTTAAACGTAAACGCTAAACCAAGGATTTGTATAGTGAGACACTATATAAATCCTTGGCTAAACTATTAACGTGAAATAGTATCTGGAACATTATTGACTATACTCATAATCTACTATAGGTTGGTAAATGGTTATATCCAAAGAGTACCTTCCCTTGTTTCAAACTCTTCACAATTTATTTCCTTGTGAAGAATTTTCATCGGCTGAATCAGTGATGCAATTTCACATAATATGACAGTTTTACTCTAAAGAAGTGACAACGTATGGATGATGCAGTTCTCATTTTTTTCAATTTTGACATCCTGGTAATATTGCAAGACTTTAAACTGCCCCTTACTGTGAATAGATGAAGCCAGAAGGGGTGTCATCAACCATCCAGTCATCGTGTTTCAAAATACAAAGTAGAATTGCAAAATCACATGGAAGATGACTAATGCATTTATTTAGCCGCGTAGTCAAACCTTTTTGTCTTTTGGTTGTTCAAGTTCAGGAATGTCACATGATATGTATACTTTTTAAGGTTCATCATAACAAATGGACAAAAATGGCTGTGTTTGCACCTCAAAAACTACTCTGAGTACAGACTTACCTGTCCAGTTGGAAAAGTTTTAAGGCCTGGCATCCACTAGATATATAAAAGTTAAATGCATTTTGTGTTTCAGAAAGATATAATCTTTTTTGGATTTTGATGGGCATTTTTTTATCCTTTCTGCAGAAGTTGTAAAAATAAACAAACACCTGAATTGCTTTGATACTGTCCACTCAGTTAAACCCTTCAACTCACTTATAGATGTGTAGATACCTATTGTCCATGTCTATCAAGGACAATCAATACAATACAGTTTTTACCTGAGAGGGAGCATCTCAAAGTTGTATCCCAACTTCATGAACTTAGTTTATTTTTCACCTTCTGCATGAACGAAAAAAAATGCCCATCAAAATCCAAAAAAGATTACATCTTTCTGAAACACAAAATGCATTTAACTTTTATATATCTAGTGGATGCCAGGCCTTAAAACTTTTCTAATATAATATTTCTAAGGTCGAGTGGTCTTTAAAGGATAGCAATACATATAAATACTCCATGAGGTAGGAAATTGCATACAATAAATATGAGGTACGAAATGGCATACATGTAAATATTCCATATAAGGTACTAGTGTACAAAAATGTTTTTTGTAATGGTACATGTACAAATTGGGTCGTAAGAAATGGTTAGGGTACAAAATATAATTCTTAATAAGTATGTTGCATTGAACATGTTGGAAGACTGTTTTTATCTTCACTTTAACGATTTTCTTTATACTGTTGGATTTAGGGGTAATTCACACGTTTCTAGGTTGGACATGCATATATTGTAATTTGTATCACTTAGTCGACATTTTTAAATTATTTTTCCCTCATGACAAGTAATATAATGCAATATTATGATATTGGGACATCAACATCCTAAATAAGAAAAATTTATATCTTTGCTGACTGTTATGATGGTTATTTAAAGTTATACATCAAGTCTGCAGTCATTCATATTTGTCTCCCCTGTTGCTAATGTAAAAGACATATAACCATAATTGATTGATTGTTAGTTCTTTGCTTAATGTCCAGTGGCAAATATTTCATGCATTTCAGGATGAGAACAAATCAGCAATTTATACAAAAGGTAGGTCCTGTCCAGTGTTCTCCCCAGGCCGATATGACGCTGCGGTGCCGCAGCGCCTTCATAATATTTTTGTAGATCCCGCAGCGTCTTAATTGGCCACTGTCCCTTAATACTTGATCCCGCAGCGTGTTAATTTTCACATTTTCATTATAAATGTTGGTTAAAATTGTCAAGTTACTGATCACCGCTGATGGGTCGGTCAGTGTTACGCAATAACTGATAATTAGCTTTACCTGAGCCACGCTTATCTCAGCCTTATCGGACTATGTTATCAGGTAATAGCATAAATGATCATCAAGAAGATAGATATTTTTTGAAGAAAATAAAAAATTTTAATAATTCAGTGCAGAAATTGAAGTAATAGATCGCAAATACATTGTATTTACGCATCGTGTGTGTGATCACTTGACCATTTATATAACGAATTTTTTCATTGGTCGAGAAGAAGAATCTATTTAAACACGACCAATGAACGTGTTGAATACACATGATAAATTTGAATATGCTAAAGATATTTACGATGAAAACTATGAATGAAAGTATTAGTAATTGAAAAAATTAAAATAAAGTTTGATTAAAGAAAACGAGGAGTGATTTTTTTAATAGAAAGTGAAAAAATGTTGCTTGCAAGGTAAATTCGTCTGAAACTGTCATATTTTTAGAAATAAAATGATCATTGAACATCGATCGTGAATCCGTGTGTCGGGAAATATGTGACAATCAACACGGGTACAGAATCGCAGCAGCTTCTGTATAATGTCACTGGTAAATAATTTCAATGGTTTTAACTTTAACGAATTGGTAGTTTCGTTTATATCTATCTGCCAAAGATAGGATTAAACAATAATACGCACGGAAGCGTAATGTGAAACTACGGAAACTGGTCAGCTGTTCATTTATAAAAAAAATTTGTTTTTAAAAGTTGTATACCAAATATCTTAACCATATTCGATTTTATTAATTCTGAATGAACATGTTCTCTGCAAATAACAAAGGGGTGAATTATAAGCAAATGGTAGATGATGGAAGTAGAAGTTTTTTTTCAGACCAATGACTACTAATGAAAAGGGGAATACACCTCCGTCTACACTGTCAGTATATGCAGATTTCATTGCTTCTCCTAATCCCAACCAAGCTCAATTTTTAGCAATTGATAAAAGCAAGCACCATTTTTCTGGTTTCAATGACAAGTGGCTGACTGAGTTTTCATGGCTTAGAAATGTTAAAGGGGGTATAAGCAAAAGTTATTGTGAGTTGGGGTTTAATTTTTAACCCTGAAGAGGATAAAGACAAAGTTGAGGAACAGACTGTCCAACAAAATAACACTATCTTGAAACAATATCCCTAGAAGGAGCAGAGAGTAGAGATGAATACTTATATTTTGACTTCTTTAATTGACTGAATATAAATAACTTTTGTGTTTAAAATCAATTTATTTCATATATATATTCTTGTAATTCATTAATACTCTGCATTATTAAACACATAACACAAAGCATTATAATTCATATTGCATGTCATGATTTATGACTTATTGCTTCAGATCACAAACGTTCACTCTAAAAAAAGAGTTACGCGCCCTTGAATTTTGCGCCTTAAAAAAATCCTGTGGAGAACACTGCTGTCATGCCTGTTTAGGCTGTTATAGTAATGTATAGAGTTCTACCAGGATGAAGGGTGGGAAATTTGGAATGCTACTGGGAAATGAGGGTACATGCATACTGAATTTTAGCCTTGCAACAGGCCACATACAGACCACTTAAAGAGATGCTGCAAGATTTTTAATGTGCAGACAGCATGATACTCATTCTACATGAGGCATCAGATAAACTCCCTATTTTGAATGGAAGTGGTTGTGAATTTATACATCCTACATGTCCTACTCAGCAAAACAGATGCCCCACTTTTGCAAGTGTTCTATTGCCAGTCAGAAGGAGACCAAAGGATGACCATATTTTTATACCCCAGACATACATTGATTTTTTGTACATGACATAGCAATGCATACATGTATATGCAGGCATCTTCAAAATTTACTACTACGTATACACAATCAGTGTTTTCCCCAGGAACAGGCTGTTCAACTTATTTTAAGACTAACTACATGTACATGTACCAGAGTTAATTTGCTGTTAGAGAATTCTAACAGCTGTGTTATATTTATGTGTACTCCCAATTTAACTATCCCGCTTGTCCAAAATTGTAAGCAGTATGTGGACAATGGTGAGTGTTGAAAATAGTGGGGGTAATGAAAAGAAGTGAGGTTTATTTTAATAAATAGAGGTATGATACTGTAAGAAGTGATATTCATGACATTATCCCAGATTCATGTAAGGATCATCACCTGACGTCTGTTCTGATAATTTCAGCATTATAATTAATCCAAGGATCATTTATATTATATATTTAAAGCTACAATAAAATTAGATTACTTAGTCAAGCGATTTATTTTTACTCCTTAATTAGGTAATTTAGTGTTAAAGAAGACCACTCTTACTTGCAACATTTCTGAACAAAATGTTACTTGCATAAGTGATTTAAGAAATTGTTTAACTAATTCCCCTGACTGCTGTATGTTATTGAATTTTTGTTTTGTTCAATCAAAGCTACATGTAGTCAAAAAGAAGTGTTTGCCCTGAGAGGAAACCCCCCCTTTTTTTTCCTCCAACACAAACAACAAAAAATGAATGGTTCTGAGACCACATGTCAGTGTTCTCCCCAGGGCCTTAAAGCACTGTGGTACCCTGGTGCTACATTGTATATTTTCTACCATGGTGCTATCTTGGATGATTTTATAATAGAATGTATAGGAGCCATGGTGCTATATTTTTTTGGAAAACCTGTGCTATGTTACTTTCCATGGTGCTACATGTATTTGAAAATTCTGGGGAAAACACTGCATGTACATTTCTGAATCTTTCATTTAATTAAGAAAAAACCTTTAAAGTATAGGTAAGAAACAGTTTAGCACATTGTTACCATGGTTACAGTACAATATATAAATGTTTATTTGACGTTTTATATATTCTCCTTTTTCAAATTTGACGATTTTCCTTTTAGGTGATTAAAAAGTAATGTACTAATGTCATGGCAGACGATCGTGAGATTTTAAGGGAATTATGGGAAGGAAGAATCCCTGTAAGATTTTCACTGCCTTTAGAGGAGGTTGATTCTGGTGAAGAACCAGAGTCAATTTATGTGAGTAACAGTAGATGAATATTCAAATGTGTATATTTTATATGTGTACATGGAGAGTTGTCTCATTGGCACTCATACCATATCTTCTTATATCTATTTGTATGGTTTCAAATACATTTGTACATTTTGTATAGTTTTCATACACATTTGTATACAAAATCTGTCTTATTTAAAACTAAAATTCGACATGTTGGAACGTAGATTATTTTGGCAAAAAAAAAAATTATTAGATAAGTATTTGTTAATCATAACCAAAACATGATTTCCCACCAAAACTGCCCAAGGCCACCAATAGGTCTTCAACACACATTACACATGCATTTATTTATGATCGTTTTATCTTCTTTTTTTTACAGCTTATGTTACCTCGACTGAGTTACTTCCCGTTGGTGACAGATAGAGTTAACAAGCATTTTTCAAAATATGTTAATCAGGAAGAGGCAACAGAGATGTGGCTAGCCTATTCCGAACAACCACTAAAATGGTAAATTATTGATACCCAAAAATATATTGTCGATGTTTATTTATATTTTTTTATTTTCATATATAAAACTTTCAAGGGCATTCATGTTCAAGCAGCAACTCACTATTTCATCTTTAAGCTTTCTTTGTCAATCAATTCAAATGAGTTGTTTCTGTGATTGCTAGCTTACCATTGTAGGTTTGTTTTTAAAAGATTTAAGTTTTGAAAAATCATTCTCTTGCTATATTTGAATGCTTAATTGATGTAACATCTATAAGATAATGACCCAAAATTGGCTTATTGATTTTTTTTAAATTATCAAAATATTGAGCTCACCAAAGAAACAACAAAATAATTTAAGAGAAATATATAGTTGTTTCTTTGGCATGTTTGGTGCACACATACTTTTCCAATCTAAAATATACTTAAAATTTGATGAAAAACAAAGAAAACAAGAAATTTTACAAAATCTTAAATGTGATATTTGTTTTTAATTTCTGAATACCTTGTACCTTAGTCTAGTAAGGACAAATATTAGAATATGTATGATAACTTTTAAATTTGCAGTACTATTTGGGCCAAATAAGGGCCTTATTGTCCTTGCTCCTTTATTGATTTGACCGAAAAATGAACATTTCACACATGGTTTTTGGTCAAAATATATATGAGCAACAGAATTATGCACACATGAACACAAAATTTCAAGAAAACTATAAACGAAAATGAAATCTTCCTGTTTCAGAATAATATATTTATTTATTATATTTTCAAATAGATCATATTTAGCAATACATACACATTATATTTACTTAAACAATTGAAATTTAAAAATTACACTATACATGGCCATTTATTTGGGTTCTTGGCTCTACTCTTTTGCTTACTTCAATATCTTTATATAACTGAGTTGTTAGATGTATAAATAAGAAGATGTGGTATGAGTGCCAATGAGACAACTCTCTATCCAAGTCACATGTATAAAAAGTAAACAATTATAGGTCAAAGTACGACCTTCAACACACAGCCTTGGTTCACACAGAACAGCAAGCTATAAACAGTCAGGGGCATTACTTAAACAAGTAACTTTTAAAATTACCTATACAAGTTATATTGAAAACAAGGCTATTTTAAATATTACTTATATAAGTAATTTTTGTAAATATTACTTTAACAGGTGTCCATTCATACAGATTTTACTAGCTTTATCCATTTTTCACAGACATCTGGTTATTTTTCCAATGAAATATAAAAACTAATCTTCCTGAAACACTAATTGCCTTTCTGACACACTTACATATCATATCGACGCTTCTGGGTCAAAGATTGATCTCTTGGAACTATTAAAATATCATTTTCCGTGAAAATCTTAAAGATAGAGAGATATAAATAGATGGAACTTGTGATTTAATTAAGGCTTAAAGTTGTTTATAATTTGTAACCTAAAACAATTACATATGTTCCTCAAATAATTTTCATTACTAATTTTTTCAAAGATGTATAGAATAACTTATACAAGTAATATTTTTGTCACTATTTTTAAAGTAACCATTTATCTTTGTTTTCCTCTCAAATTCATTAATTCATAAATTCTTAATTTTATGTAATAAAATAATGTACAAATTCATAAAAACTACAGTTAGTCCATGCTTTATTGATATTTGAAATAACTCTAAATATAATAAGTGATTTAAAAAATTTTAAAAACAAAAATTACTTATATAAGTAATGAAAAAAAATAACTTGTTTAAGTAACGCCCCTGACTGATAAAGGGCTCAAAAATGACTAGTGTAACACACTTCAAACAGGAAAACCAACGGTCAAATCTATATAAAAAAAAAGAGAAACGAGAAACATTATGAACCTCACCAACAAACAAGTACGACAACCACTTAACAACAGGCTCCTGACAGAACATTTTCATGTTGCTTCTATATAGTTAGTATACCTATATTTTCAGTTGATCAAAGGACAGTGATATTTTTAAGTCTACAGTACTAGTACCTTCTCATTATTTTTTTACTTTTATTTTTCACTGTTTTGCAGGCACTATCCAATAGGTGTACTCTATGACTTATATGGTGATAAAGATTCAACACCTTGGAATATTACAGTGCATTTTCAGGTAACACAATATTTACAATCACAAATCGTCTGAAATTATAAATATGTACATTGTATATAAAAATATACCAAAAAGACAAGGATTGATCAATTGCTGTTTCACATCCGGTGGCAAATTAAATGCATATTCAGGATGAAAACATGATAATGTGATATGAATATAATGAATATAGATCCTGCTAATTACTAGACAGACATGCTGAGATGGTTTTTTTCATTTGCTACATCACAACTTAAGGTAACATTACGCATGAAGACATGTCACCCAATCGTGACAAATTATTCTGACTCCGAGCTGACCAGTCATTGTTCTTACTCATGAATGGCAAGTGCTTATCGGAGAAGCAGGTAATATAAATTTTTAAGCTTTTGTTTTGACCGTGGTTTAGATGACAAGGAAGGATAAAGATCAATGGTAAGAAGTTACATGTATAACCAGGAAATATGAAGACAAAAAAACATTTTATTGAGGAAACACACATTAATCTAATACTGACAATAAACTTTCAAAGAAAACATACATATTTGTATTACCTCTTACCGTACCTACATGTATATTGTAGAAATTGTTAATGTCACTGAATTATGATGTTCTTTTGAAATACCTAAAAATTTGTGAAAACAGTCATTATTATACTGGTGTAAATAGTAATATAAATTCATGAACAATATTTTGAATAAGCAATTTTTCATAAAATATTGAAAGAGCTTGTGTGGTTTAGCTAGATTGAGATTGAGCAAAATAAACTGACTAGTGCTAAAGGTCATTTTAAACTTACTGTGAGGTGATAGCTTTTGCTCTTTGTAAAGGCTATACTGTGTCTTTTTGAAAACGAACAGCAAATAAAAGTGTTTCTCCAATGCCTTTGGTTTTATCAAGTGTGTTGGGCTGTTTTCTGCTCTTTGGTTGGATTGTTGTCTCTGTGACACATTCCTCGTTTCCATTCTCAATTTTATAAACTATCCCTGCCTCAAAGTGATGTTCACTTCTGTTTGTCTGTCACTTATTTATGTTTAGTTTCCAAACATAACAAAATAAACAATCAAATTGTTTCATTTCTCCATCGTCAGTATCTAGTTTTTGACATTACACACTTTAAGACAATACGGTTTTATTCAATGCTACATTAGTACTGTTGAGGTTTTCAACTGGTAAATATTTCACATTACAGCCTTAATAAAACCAAATGTGAGAGTTCTCGCAAAGTGGTGATCAGAAGGTTTTCACCACCATAATTTTGCAAAGGACCGACACAATGTTGGTATTTTGCAATATAAATTGTAGTGAGGACCAGTAGATTTTCTTCAGGGTCCACCAGGGAAAAAAAGATTTCAAGAACTATGCCAATGTTTCATATTTTCTTTAAGCTTGGGCATTAGAAAAATGTTCCATTAGCAAGAAAACTTCCACATATTATGTTTAGGGTCTATTTTGATATTGGTGGTATCCCCATATAGCATGTACAGAAACAACTAAAGAGAAGTATACTAGAAAAAAAAACATCCTTTTTTCCTAATTTCAGGATTTCCCTGAAGATGAGATATTACATTGTCCCAGTAAAGAAGCAGTTGAGTCCCAGTTTATGTCCATGGTGAAGGAAGCAGATTCCTTGAAACACAGAGCACAGATCATTAATAATATGCAGAAAAGAGACCACAAACAGTTATGGACAGCATTATTACATGGTAAATATACTTGGATATTCCCATAAACATGATTTAGAGGACAAAGTGTTTGTTTTGGACCTTTTAAGCTCACCTGACCAGAAGGGCCATGTGAGCTTTTGCCATCACTATGGGTTTTTCATCCGCAATCATCTGTAAACTTTTTCTTTAATAATTTTCTCCTCTGAACTGCTCAATGGATTGAAACCAATGTATAAAACCAATAAAATATATAAATAAATTAGACAATACTTACTTTTCCCTTACAAAGTACACTCAAAATTTTGCAAAACAAGAAATCATGAAATTTGGCAAATTATACTAATTTTGTCATGATAACAAGGTTAATGTTACTTTTAATTAATCATGTAAGGGAACAGGACAAGATGTGTCCTAAAAAAAAATCTAAAATTGGAACTTTTGATTTAAGATTTCCATTCATCATGTTAATTTCTTTTTAAAAGATTTAGTATTACCAAATTAAAATTAGTTAGTTTTTTACATTTTTTACATTTGCAACAATTGCAGTTGGGACATTAAGTAAAGACTCTTCAATGCTTTTTTGTTAAATATACATAGATTTAGATCAATTTCCAGGTAGTTTTTTTACCTACAAATTTAGAGCACATGTCAGAATCAACTAAATAATATACCATAATGTTTGTCCATCATGTCCATATAAGCAACAACTTTCATGTTATTATTTTTTTGGTTCTTGCATGTTTCCTGTAAACAAATATATATTTAAAATTGAAATTATATCTTTCGGTTGAATTTCCTTGAATATTCATAATTTTTCAGTTTTTATACGACCACAAAAAAATTTTTGTGGTCGTATATTGGTATGACGTTGGCGTCGTCGTCGTCGTCGTCGTCGTCGTCGTCGTCGTCCGGCGTCGTCGTCCGAATACACATTAGTTTTCGCACTCTAACTTTAGTTTAAGTGAATGGATCTCATTGAAATTTTACCATAAGGTTCAATACCACAAAAGGAAGGTGGGGATTGATTTTGGGGGTTATGGTACGAACAGTTAAGGAATTAGGGGCCAAAAGGGGCCAAAAATAAGCATTTTTGTAACTTCCAGACATAACTTGTGTGTAAGTGTATGGATCTCTCTGACATTGTACCACAAGGTTCCATATCACAAAGGGAATGCTGGGATTGATTTTGGGGGTAATTGTCTCCAAATTTTAGGAATTAGGGGCCAAAAAGGGGCAAAAAACAAGCATTTTTCTAGTTTCATGACAATAACTTGTTTGTAAGTGTATGGATCTTTATGAAATTGTACTACAAGGTTCCATATCACAAAGGGAATACTGGGATTGATTTTTGGGGTAATTTCCTCCAAATATTAGGAATTAGGGGCCAAAAAGGGGCAAAAAACAAGCATTTTTCTAGTTTCATGACAATAACTTGTTTGTAAGTGTATGGATCTTTATGAAATTGTACTACAAGGTTCCATATCACAAAGGGAAGGCTGGGATTGATTTTGGGGGTTTTCCCTCAAAATTTTAGTAATTAGGGGCCATAAAAGGGAAAAAAAAACATGCATTTTTCTAGTTTCAGGACAATAACTTGTGTGTAAGTGTATGGATCTTTATGAAATTGTACTGCAAGGTTCCATATCACAAAGGGAAAGCTGGAATTGAGTTTGGGGGTAATTGCCCTAAACGTTTAGGAATTTGGGGCCAAAAAGGGGCCAAAAAACAAGCATTTTTCTAGTTTCCAGACAATAACTTGTGTTCAAGTGTATGAATCTCTCTGAAATTGTACTGCAAGGTACCATACCACAAAGGGAAAGCTGGGATTGAGTTTGGGGGCGATAAATCATAAGGGGGGTCAAAAAATTGGGGGGGGATTTTTTTTTTCCTTTTTTTTCTTTAACATTTTCCATTTTAAATTGGTTATTTCTGATTTATATATAAAAGCAAATAATAATGATATGGTTTGAATAGGCATACATGTGAACCTCCCGACGGGAGTACAATAATCCCGTTTTCAGGGGTCTCCTCCCCCCCTCCTGTTGAAAAAATCCCGTGTATGAAATTTTTCATGAATGAAAAATTTCTGCCCAACATAACATCTCAGGCATCTGGTGTAACTGACATTACCTGAAGTTATATTTTACCTGTAAATCAATTAACATGCATAATTATATGGCTTCACTTGTCAGCTTGGGTGTCAAACATACTGGTAAGCAACGATTTTTATACGACCGCAAAAAAATTTTGTGGTCGTATATTGGTATGACGTTGGCGTCGTCATCGTCGTCCGGCGTTGTCGTCGTCGTCCGGCGTCGTCGTCCGAATACATATTGGTTTTCGCACTCTAACTTTAGTTTAAGTGAATGGATCTTTTTGAAATTTGACCATAAGGTTAAATACCACAAAAGGAAGGTTGGGATTGCTTTTGGGGGTTATGGTACCAACAGTTAAGGAATTAGGGGCCAAAAAGGGGCCAAAAATGAGCATTTTCTAGTTTCCAGACAATAACTGTGGAACGGTGTATGGATCTCTCTGAAATTATACTACAAGTTTCCATACCACAAAGGGATGGTTAGGATTTGCTTTGGGGGGTTATGGCTCAAACCGTTTAGGAATTAGGGGCAAAAAAGGGGGAAAAACAAGGTTGTCCTGGTTAATGGACAAATACTTTAGTACAAAACATAATTTAAAGCAGTGTAAGGGAGATAAATCAAATACATCATTGAAATTATCTCCCTTACACTGCTTTTAAATTATGTATAAAGTAATGGTTAATGAACAATAAAGATAATCTAAAACAGTGTAAGGGAGGTAATCCAAATACAACGTTTTGGTTACTTCCCTTACACTGCTTTTAAATTATGTTTAAAGAAATGCATATTTATAAAGGAAGACCAGTAAAAATATCTGCAAATGTTTTCATCTTTTTTTTTTACAAAAAAATCCATATGAAAGATTTGACACTATATTTTTATTAATTCTATTATAAAATAGATTAAGTTAGCACTATGGTAAATTTAAATGGGTAATTATGGTTGCCAACTCCATTGGAAATTTGAATTGAGATTATGACCATATCTTGAGGGAAAGAATTTTTTGGGGGGAAAAAGGGGGGGGGGATAAAAAGAAATTGTGGGGGGCCAATTTTTTCTCATTTCAGATTTCAGAAATTAAAAAGAATTATTCTTCAAATATTATTTTTTTTTCAAATTTCAAATATTGAAAAATTTCAAGAAGTAATCTTTAATTGCACAGTATGGCGCATTAGATTTGTAAAATCTTTGATCACATTTATTTATTTGTTATGCCGAATCTAACAGTGTATTTAGATTTTTAATTTTGGGTCCAGTTTTCAAATTGGTCTACATTAATGTCCAAAGGGTCCAAAATTAAACTTTGTTTGATTTTAGCAAAAATTGAATATATGAGGTTCTTTGATATGCTGAATCTAAACATGTATTTAGATTTTTGATTTTTGGCACAGTTTTCAAGTTGGTCCAAAATGGGGTCCAAAATTAAACTTTGTTTGATTTCAACAAAAATTGAATATATGGGGTTCTTTGATATGCTGAATCTAACCATGTATTTAGATTTTTTATTTGTGGACCCCGTTATCTAATTGGTTCATATTGAGGTCAAAAGGGTCCAAAATTAAACTTTGTTTGATTTCATCTAAAATTGAATTATTGGGGTTCTTTGATATTCCAAATCTAACCGTGTATTTAGGTTTTTAATTTTGGGTCCTGTTTTTTAAATTGGTCTACATTGAGGTCCAAAGGGTCCAAAATTAAACTTAGTTTGATTTTGACAAAAATTGAATTCTTGGGGTTATTTGATTTGCTGAATCTAAACATGTGTTTAGATTTTTGATTATGGGCCCAGTTTTCAAGTTGGTCCAAGATAGGGTCCAGTATTTAAACTTTGTTTGATTTCAACAAAAATTGAATATATGGGGTTCTTTGATATGCTGAATCTAAACATGTATTTAGATTTTTGATTATGGGCCCAGTTTTCAAGTTGGTCCAAATTGGGGTCCAAAATTAAACTTTGTTTGATTTCAACAAAAATTGAATATATGAGGTTCTTTGATATGCTGAATCTAACCATGTATTTAGATTTTTTATTTGTAGGCCCCGCTATCTAATTGGTTCATATTGAGGTCAAAAGGGTCCAAAATTAAACTTTGTTTGATTTCATCGAAAATTGAATTATTGGGGTTCTTTGATATGCCAAATCTAACCGTGTTTTTAGATTTTTAATTTGGGTCCCGTTTTTTAAATTGGTCTTCATTGAGGTCCAAAGGGTCCAAAATTAAACTTAGTTTGATTTTAACAAAAATTGAATTCTTGGGGTTCTTTGATATGCTGAATCTAAACATGTGTTTAGATTTTTGATTATGGGCCCAGTTTTCAAGTTGGTCCAAGTTGGGGTCCAAAATTAAACTTTTTTTGATTTCAACAAAAATTGAATATATGGGGTTCTTTGATATGCTGAATCTAACCATGAATTTAGATTTTTTATTTGTGGGCCCCGCTATCAAATTGGTTCATATTGAGGTCAAAAGGGTCCAAAATTAAACTTTGTTTGATTTCATCAAAAATTGAATTATTGGGGTTCTTTGATATTCCAAATCTAACCGTGTATTTAGATTTTTAATTTTAAGTCCCGTTTTTTAAATTGGTCTACATTAAGGTCCAAAGGGTCCAAAATTAAACTTAGTTTGATTTTAGCAAAAATTGAATTCTTGGGGTTCTTTGATATGCTGAATCTAAACATGTGTTTAGATTTTTGATTATGGGCCCAGTTTTCAAGTTTGTCCAAGTTGGGGTCCAAAATTAAACTTTGTTTGATTTTAACAAAAATTGAATATATGGGGTTCTTTGATATGCTGAATCTAACCATGTATTTTGATTTTGGACATTGGACCATAATAGGTAAATTAAAAAAATTCAAGTTCTTAGACCACATTCTTTCTGTGTCAGAAACCTATGCTGTGTCAAATATTTAATAACAATCCAAATTCAGAGCTGTATCAAGCTTGAATGTTGTGTCCATACTTGCCCCAACTGTTCAGGGTTCGACCTCTGCGGTCGTATCAAGCTGCGCCCCAGCGAAGCATTTTATTACCTCATGCTAACTGCCGTTGTGTAACAAAAACTGTGTATTTATTGGGTTACTTCCCTTGATTTATCCTGTTTTAAGTTACTTTCCTTTTAATAATGAAAATTTTTAAAAGAATATAAATAAAATATAAATTGAACAAATAATCATAAAAGGATGGTTATTAAATGATTTTAAATGTCTTAGGACAAATAAAAAAATAATAATTTGAAAATTATTTGAGGATTCTATACTTCCTTTTAAGGCTTAAATTGAAATTTATATAATAACTATGACCCTAACTTTACAGATAGAATGAATTTCTGAGTTTGCAAATAAAAACTATTTGCAAGAGAAAAAAAAATAAAATAAAAACTATTTGCAGACAGCTAAACAAATGTTCTGGTTGCAATGATTGTTTTATAGAATATGAAGTAAAAAATTTAAAGAACATACTGGAAAAAAACAATGTTAGATTGAACATGTAGAATATAAAGATGGAGAAACTTTATAAGTGCAAGGGTACTATAAACATAATAAATTGGTTGGAAAGTTGAAGAAAACACACTTTAAAAGACCATTTTTACAGCACACGGTTACATTTACAACAAAATTAATGTCGATTAAAAACCTCCTGATCTGAGTCCTAATCTCCTGACCAAAATTTCCCAATCTCCTGATCTGAGTTTCACAGTCCATCACATGTATGAATAGGTAAATTGAAAATTTTTAAGTTCTTAGACCACTTTCATTCTGTGTCAGAAACCTATGCTGTGTCAAATATTTAATTACAATCCAAATTCAGTGCTGTATCAAGCTTGAATGTTGTGTCCATACTTGCCCCAACTGTTCAGGGTTCGACCTCTGCGGTCGTATCAAGCTGCGCCCCAGCGGAGCATTTTATTAAAACTTTGCACATGCTTATCAAATATCTTTGCATCTGATTTTGTAATACTTTTAAAAATGTCAGTCCCATATCTAAGATGTCTTTGAGGGGAGTTAATTAGGGTCACAACACTTTGACTTAAACAGTCAATTTTAAACTGAATCTTTAAGTCTTTCCAAAACCGGATCGTAGGCACACCTCCAGCAATCTGTTGCATGCTCTTATATAGCTTTGAAATTGGAATTTTTTTTCATATCTCACACATGTTAACCTGCCGCATTTTTGTGCCTGTCCAAAGTCAGGAGCCTCTGGCCTTTGTTAGTCTTGTATGTTTTTTAAATTTTAGTTCTATTATATGTTTAGGAGTTTAGTGTGACGTCTATTTTCACTGAACTAGTACACATTTTTGTTTAGGGGCCAGTCTCTGGGTGCGAATTTTCTCGCTGTGTTTAAGACCCATTGGTGGCCTTGGGCTGTTTTCTGCTCTTTGGTCGGGTTGTTGTCTCTTTGACACATTCCCCATTTCCATTCTCAATTTTATTTAATAAGGAAATGATTATTTTTTTTCTAATTTCAGACAGATATGATCAATTTTGGTCAGTAAATAAACGGTTAATGGAATCATCCGGTGATGACATGTTCAAATACATTCCTTTTAGAATATATCAGGTAAGTAAACTTATCTGTATACCATGTATACAGTACACACAATGTGATATAGGTAAAAAATGTATTTGATAAAAATATCGAACTCCAAGGTAAATTCAAAAAGTGGGTATGTTCATAACACCTGACTGAACCAAAATGCTCAATTATATCAACCAATGAAAAGACTGGAAAATGGCTGTCACTTATTCCTGAAGAAAACGGTACAGGGGTTTTCCTGAAAAAAATGGTGGATTTAATCTGGTTTAATAGCTAGCTAAACCTCCCACTTGCATGAGAGTCAATTACCCTTGCATATGTTGAAGAAATCACTGGGAAATAGGGTGATTAGTGGTTATTTGAAGTGATGATACTAATTTGACTTTGATTGATGACTACCTCAGTGGTCTTATAGCGTGCTCATTTTGAGGGTGGCAGATTTTGAGTCTATCCCCACTCAGATCAAACCAAAGACATGAAAATTGGTATTTGCTGCTGCTCTGTAATCACACAGCATTTAGGAGAACCAGCAGATCAAAGACTGGTCAGATTAGAGTGAGAATAATATGCCTGGGTATGTGACATGTCTGCTTGCCGACAGTGAATCAGCACATTCAAAATCTGGCTCAATGTGCAGGTCTATTACAAATGTAAAAATAAGAAGATGTGCATCTCTCCACCAGAGCAGGTTTCAAATTCATACATTTTGTACATGGAGATATATTCACCATGTATCAATTATTTGAATTGATATCTTGTCAGAGTTTTCTCCCCTAGATTGATTACAAAACAGTTCTAATTTTGTATTTTGGATCACTATTATCTACATTTAACATTTGTGAGATTTTTAATTAAAGAAATTTATTTATCAAAAGACTTTCATTAAAACAGGGTTAGTTTATACTTTTGAAAAAAAAAACACTATTTCATTGGATGAGAGCATATCACATGCATGACCATATTATTTTACTTACTGACAGTATATTGGCCATACACAATCAGGTCAAACACTCATTAGGGCCCCTACTGGGGTTTACAGAAAAGAGAGAATGAAAAAAACAAAGAATAGAGAATAATAGGGTGCTTAAAATATAAAGAATAAATAAATAAGTGTAAAAATCTGCTTGTTCATGCCCTCACTTACCTCTAGAATGCATGTTTGAGAAAATATGATTAAAAACAAGTCTACTTGCCAATCATTATTTTGAAGACTGGAATACCAATAATTTCCGAATTAAAAAAGAACCACTTAAAACTGCAAATTTTTACAAAATGTTATGTCCACCAAAAGGAAACAAAGGAATAGATTTGTTTTGTAGTGACTAAAATACCAGAATACAATTTTTAAATGGACCCCATGTATTCCCATATTTCCCCTCTTACCCATTACTTTGACCATGATATCTGAAAAGCTAAACAGAAAGTTTATTTATTCATCCATGAGTTACCAAATTAACCTTTTATTGAGAGACCTAGATAAAAGGACATAGCTCGGAAAAAACACTGACATGTATCTGTCAACCAATGTTAAGTATCTTCTAAGTAACAAAGTCAAGTAAGTAAATTCTTTGTGAAAATTAGTTCAGTAGTTTACAGTATTTAAATAGTATTACAATGTATATGTATAATGACATTACTGATTTGAAGAATTGTCTCCCTTATGGTTTCTATTTTTAGATTGATATTCCAAATATCCAAAAAATATTTAAACCATGCAATACAGAAGGAGAGGAACAAAAATTAGGGGATTTACTTCATGAATGTGTCCCACATTTGTGGGAAGAAGGTGAGAAAGATTTTTATTGGTAAAACAATGTACAAAAATGTAGTACTTCCTGAAGTTTATTCAAATACCAGTTTTGAAATAGTAAAATAAACTTTGATTTCTTAAAAGAAATTTGCCAAACTCTTAATTAAAAAAAAAATGCCATTGGATTCTTCTTTTTGTCGAGCCTGCGACTTTTGTCACAAAAGTGAGACAAAGCGATCCTACATTCCGTCAGCGGCGTCCACAAATATTCACTCTGTGGTTAAAGTTTTAAAAAATTTAATAACTTTCTTAAACTATTCTGGATTTGTACCAAACTTGGACAGAAGCTTGTTTTATGATCAAAAGCTAGTACATGTATCTAGAAGGAAATTTTTTGTAAAAATTTATTTCCTGTTTTTCTGTATATTGCTTTTAAATGGACTTAGTTTTTCTTCCGGTTAACATTACATACAGTCTGCAGTTAAAGTTTTCAAAACATTTTTTAGATTCAAAATCCATCCTGGATTTTTACCAAACTCGGACAGAAGCTTTCTCACAATCAAAAGATAGTATCTAGAGGAAAATTTTTAATAATTATTTCCCCATTTTTGTTGAGCCTGCGACTAACAGGAAAAGTCAGCAAGATACTGGGTTCCGCTGAACCCTTGCAAATTTTTTTTCCAAATGATCATCCCAAACTTTGAGAAATGCAAAAGTAAGACCAGCTTCATATTTTGTCCGCTCTTGAATGTTTTTGTTGGAATATTAGTTAAATATAATATAAGGCCAATATGGAATGATTGCCAATGAGACAACTATCCATCAGAGACCATATGACAGGGATATAAACAACTACCTTGGTTGGATCACCATACATCCTTCAGCAATGAGCAAAAACAATACTGTTAAAAAAAGCATAACAATATATTGCAAATTCGTTTATTTTCATGGATATCAATTTTCGAGGATGGAGGATATTTTGCAATTTCATGGAGATTTGATTTCATGGTTTTGTCAAATTCCGTATACAAGCCTATAAAAAATGTGTACTTTGTTGAATACCAGTATTTAAATACATATTTTACCTATACCCATATAATCCACTAAGAAAATTAGTATCACATGACTAATATTGAATCCACATGTACAGTTGATGCTTGTTTATGAATTATGAGTGCTGTCCCCCGCACAACGCGTTGCCAAGACATAGAAATACTGGGCGTCCATCTGTGTGTCCATCTGTCTGATCTTGTAAGCGCTCTCACGTGTACAGTTCTTGCCAGATTTTTATGAAACTTATTTCATAAGTTTATATCAGCAATGTCTTAGACGAGTTTGAAAATCAGTGCTGATTAATAATTTTTAAAAGAGTTATGCCCCTTAGAAACATTAATTATATGGAAAATTGCAATATTAATGCTCTCATGTGTACAATTCTTGCCAGAATTTAATGAAACTTATATCATAGGTTTATATCAGCAATGTCTTTGACGAGTGTGAAAATCAGTGCTGATCAATTATTTTTAGTCCCCTACCAACGAAGTCGAAGGGGACTTTAGGTTTGCACTTCGTCCGTCTGTCTGTCTGTCTGTCCATCCATCAGTCCGGCAAATCAGTTTTCCACACTTTTTTTCTTCGTGCTTGAGGATATCGATTTGATATTTGGTATATTGCTTTATCATGACAAGTTACAGATCATGTTCTAATTTTGTTCCTGTCAGACGAATTTTTGCAGAGTTATGGTCCTTGAACTTAGAAAAATTCACTAAAATAATCAGTTTTCCGCACTTTTTTGTGTCATGCTTGAAGATATTGATTTCATGATTGGTATATAGTTTTATTATGACAAGTTACAGATCAAGTTCGAATTTTGTTCCGGCCTGATGATTTTGTGCAGAGCTATGGTCCTTGAACTTAGAAAATTCACTCAAATAATCAATTTTCCACATTTTTTTCGTCATGCTTTAAGATATTGACTTGATATTTGTTATATAGTTTACACCATGACAAGTTATAGATCAAGTTAGCATTTTGTTCCAGTACAATGAATTTTTAACCGGTAGGGGACTATGTATTGCCAGGCAATACTCACAGAATGCTTGTTAAAAGAGTTATGCCCCTTGGAAATATTGATTATATGGAAAATTGCATTGTTAGCACCCATGTGTACAATTCATGCCAGATTTATATAAAATTTATATGAAAGATTTATATCATCAATGTCTCAAACAAATTTGAAAATCAGTGTCGATCAATTACTTTTAAAAGAGTTATGTCCCTTGGAAATATTGATTATATGGAAAATTGCATTGTTAGCGCTCTCATGTGTTCAAATTCTTTCAGAATTTTATAAAACTTATATCATAGATTTATATCAGCCATGTCTTTGACAATTTCAAAAATAAGTTCTGATCAAATATTTTGAACGAGTAATGCCCCTTGGAAAAATTAATTATAACAGAAATCGCATTGCATTTGCTCTGAAGCCTTCATTTCTCTAAGATATTTATAAATTGTTTTAAAGAACAAAAAAAGGTTTTTTTTTAGTTATTGCCCTTGTACCTTTGATATAAAATATGTGCAACGCAGGGGACATTGGAACTCTGTTCTTTCACTATTTATGTGTTATTAATTTTTTAAACCATGTCATCTTTGTTTCAGATACATTTACGAAAAGAGTTGTAACACACGGTATAGAAATGACATTAAATACTCCAGTATTGTGGTTGTCCCAGAATTTTAGTTACCCAGACAATTTTCTGCATATATGCTTATTAGACAAAACGGACACAGGATGATGCAGAGAGTTCAAAATCTAGGTCTATTTATTTTAATTCTTGTGATTTGAATAATTTCTTGCAATTCTGCAAATGAATATTTTGAACTGTATCAGTTAATGATATGTGAAACATGAAATGTGATTTAAAATGATGATAATGTACGATAGCAATTCAGGGTCAGCGGTTAGGCCTACAGTCTGAAGTTTTCACGAAGGGCCTGTAAATTTGATGAGAATTATATTAACTGAAAAGGCCAGATTTCTAAAGCATAATGCATCAGGACTTATAGATTTCACAAGCAACTTTGAACATTGATATGACTGTGTCATGTCTATTCCATTCTATGTAAATTTTCTTTAGAAGACATCAATGTTTTAGAAAGACAACAAACAGAAAAAGAAGAGTTGAGCTTTGATTTGAAGTTTGCAGCATACTTGTTGGAATTTCTGATAGAAACCAAAGATCATAGCATTTTTCATTCAAATTTTTTTTTTCTTCATTTCAATAGCATATACAAACATTGTTCTGATTTTCTAACCATAAACATGATTTTGATTGATAGGGCTATGCCGTTAAAATGAATGTTTGATGGAAAAAATGGACTTTCGTGTTTTCCCAACAAGAAACCATGCTTTAAGTAATTTGCATACATCTTATGTACATACAACCATAAATGAGCCATGCCCCCCATGGCCAAAAAGGAAAATTAACATCCTACTTTCCCACAATCAATTTAATGGAATAGCCCTAATTTACATAAAATGATTGTGTTTCTGAAATATGAAAATAAAGAGAATTTATTTGTACATGCATGTAAAACTAATATTTTCATTGAATGCCAATAAGCCATTTGATATATAATGAGTTATTTCCCTTCATTTATATTTGGTGATTTAGTCCATTACTTATGATTTTTTTCTCCAGTTTAACCTACATGAATAAGAATAAGAGTGCTTAAATAAATAAAGGTAAATGTGGGACCCAATAACAAAATCAAGAAAGACTTGAGGGTTTGCTTGCGACCTCAATTCTCATTTAATAGAACCTGTGACCTAAACAAAGGTTCAAAATGGTTTATTTGAATGTTTTGTTTTATTTTAAAGTGACCAGAGGTAATTTTTATTAAACATGACCTTGTGACCAAAGGTGGGTACCCTATTAGAGCACAAGAGTATAATCTTGTAGTGATAACCTTAAATCAGTCAAGGGATTACCACTCTACTTTGAAAATCCTTGAATATTATATCAGTCATTCTCAGCATGGAAATACATGCCGTTTACACTTGTAAAAAATGTCAAATAATCCTGGAAAACCCCCTGAATTTTGTAACCATCAGCAGCATGTTTTGAAATGCAAATTTTCCTATCACTATTCCAAACTCCATGACAGTTCCAGCTCTAATGAGTCCACTTATCTGCACTGTACCATGATTTCTATCCAGGGAAGCTTATCTAATGTCTTGAATTCAAAAGTAACTTTTGGTATCTTCATCTATGTCTACTGATACCATCTTGTTGAATGCCATGGAAAAACCCTGGAACTGATGCAGAATGAGAAGGAAATTATCAGATAATAAACTGTTAGAAGTATTATTAAGCACACTTTTCAAATGTTTATTTTTTAACATAAATTGTCCATGAATTCCAGTGACATTTTTTTTCTGAATCAGAATGAAGATCCCAATTAATGCAAATATGTTTGTTTCTTTTATTAACTGCCTACGATAGTATACAGGGCGGTCAGGGGTAATATTTATGCAAGTTTATATATTTACTTGTGTAAAAAATTTGTTAGATGTTAATTTGCTTTTTCAAGGTCTTAATAATCTCCTCTGAATCTTCTTTTTACAACCTCTTAAAATCTCAAGTTAAAGTTTTAGCAGGTCAAAATATGCATAAACAATTTTTTTCTGGTTTCTGATAAATTTTTTTATAGAGTTTAACTTTTTATCTCAACTAAACTAAGAAAGTCTTCTATGCTCAGGTGTTAAGTGCACAAGGTCTTCTAAAATTGCTCCCTGGAGAATCATAAATGAGCAGTATTTTGAAGATAATAGACAAAGGAGATTTTCCTTATCCATAAAATTATACTTTTAGGAAAAGTAGAGACAACTATGAACAACTATAAGAGCATTGTTGTCAATTAAAATTCAAGAGAAGAAGAAAATATAACTGTTTTACTTTTAAAACTAAAAACAAAAATTAAAGGCATTGTGTGTTAACGGTCTGCATTTCTATCCTGTATCAGATTCAAGTTTTTGGCCACAGAGTTTACCTTGACGTTTTGATCACATCAACTGTAAACTTGGTACACATGTTCATTATAACGTAAACAATTAAAATTATATGTTGAATAAGGGTTTTGATCCTGACTTTTCTGTTTACTACAATTAGTAATATAGTGTGATCTGGGCATGGTTTCCTATGGACACAGATTCTTGCATCTTTTGTCTAAGTTTAATTTTGACCTAAAATGATACCTTTAACTTTACCAGTTGTGGAAGTGATTTTCTTAAGAATCTAAAGATTTAAAACTCAGGGGTAAAGGCAAAGAGAGAAACAGCTATTCTAATGCAATTAGTTTATATCAATGGCTCTGATTGGATGAAGACAAGCGTAAAATTCTCAATCTCCCTGTCTGTAACTAAAGAAGCCGACATTTTGAATTCGGGAATATATTGACATGTAATTTCTCCAATAATAAGCAAAAAAACTCACATTTGGACCTACAAAACTTCTTTTCATCAAATTTTATTACATTTTGAAGCGGACAAGAACCCAGAAAACGCCCAGTGTTTACGTTTGATGCAGGAAGCACACCTATGACGTCGCCTAGATTAGGCGCCAAAGAAGATAACATCATTTTGCGGAATTTTCGTTTAATGAAAATTCTACACAGAAATAATGACTAAAATTGAATGATTTGTTTTTATACAACCGCAAAAAAAATTTTTGTGGTCGTATATTGGTATGACGTTGGCGTCGTTGTCGTCGTCCGAAGACACATTAGTTTTCGCACTCTAACTTTAGTTTAAGTGAATGGATCTCTATGAAATTTTACCATAAGGTTCAATACCACAAAAGGAAGGTGGGGATTGATTTTGGGGGTTAGGGTACCAACAGTTAAGGAATTAGGGGCCAAAAAGGGGCCAAACATAAGCATTTTTGTAACTTCCAGTTATAACTTGTGTGTAAGTATATGGATCTCTCTGACATTGTACCACAAAGTTCCATATCACAAAGGGAATGCTGGGATTGATTTTGGGGGTAATTGCCTCCAAATTTTAGGAATTTGGGGCCAAAAAGGGGCAAAAAACAAGCATTTTTCTAGTTTCATGACAATAACTTGTGTGTAAGTGTATGGATCTTTATGAAATTGTATCACAAGGTTCCATATCACAAAGGGAATGCTGGGATTGATTTTGGGGGTAATTGCCTCCAAATTTAAGTAATTAGGGGCCAAAAAGGGCCAAAAAACAAGCATTTTTCTAGTTTCCAGACAATAACTTGTGTTCAAGTGTATGGATCTCTCTGAAATTGTACTGCAAGGTACCATACTACAAAAGGAAGGCTCGGATTGATTTTGGGGGTAATTCCCTCAAAATTTTAGAAATTAGGGGCCATAAAAGGGCAAAAAAACAAGCATTTTTCTAGTTTCACGACAATAACTTGTGTGTAAGTGTATGGATCTTTATGAAATTGTACTGCAAGGTTCCATATCACAAAGGGAAAGCTGGGTTGGAGTTTGGGGGTAATTGCCCTAAACGTTTAGGAATTTGGGGCCAAAAAGGGGCCAAAAAACTTGCATTTTTCTAGTTTCATGACAATAACTTGTGTTCAAGTGTATGGATCTCTCTGAAATTGTACTGCAAGGTACCATACCACAAAGGGAAGGCTGGGATTGAGTTTCAGGTGATGAATCATAAGGGGGTTCAAAAAATTTGGGGGGGGGATTTTTTTTTCCTTTTTTTTCTTTAAAATTTTCCATTTTAAATTGGTTATTTCTGATTTCTGATTTATATATAAAAGCAAATAATAATGATATGGTTTGAATAGGTAAATTAAAATTTTTAAGTTCTTTCATTCTGTGTCAGAAACCTATGCTGTGTCAAATATTTAATTACAATCCAAATTCAGTGCTGTATCAAGCTTGAATGTTGTGTCCATACTTGCCCCAACTGTTCAGGGTTCGACCTCTGCGGTCGTATCAAGCTGTGCCCCAGCGGAGCATTTTATTAATTTTGGGTCCAGTTTTCAAATTGGTCTACATTAATGGTCCAAAGGGTCCAAAATTAAACTTTGTTTGATTTTAACAAAAATTGAATATGGGGTTCTTTGATATGCTGAATCTAAACATGTATTTAGATTTTTGATTTTTGGCCCAGTTTTCAAGTTGGTCCAAATTGGGGTCCAAAATTAAAGTTTGTTTGATTTAAAATAAAATTGAATATATGGGGTTCTTTGATATGCTGAATCTAACCATGTATTTTGATTTTGGACATTGGATCATAATAGGTAAATTAAAAAAAATCAAGTTCTTAGACCACATTCTTTCTGTGTCAGAAACCTATGCTGTGTCAAATATTTAATCACAATCCAAATTCAGAGCTGTATCAAGCTTGAATGTTGTGTCCATACTTGCCCCAACTGTTCAGGGTTCGACCTCTGCGGTCGTATCAAGCTGCGCCCAGCGAAGCATTTTATTTTGCATTAGAATAGAGATAACTGTATTGTATTTGAAGCTTTGCGGACGTCCATCGGTAGTTTTACTGTCGCAAATACCCGTTTACCTGTCTCCGCTACGCGTCGCCAGGTAAACTAAATTTGCGACAGTAAAACTACCGATGGACGTCCGCATAGCTTCAAATACAATACAGTTATCTCTAAAGCATGTATTCAGTGATTGTTATGTTTGTTCTGTTGTAAGAGTCATTATAGATTATCAATATTTGACCTGAGATTTTGCAACACTTGAACTATTGATGTCATGCAACGATCACTTTTGCATTGTTGCTTCAGACATTTTCTCTTATGACTTAAAATTTTACAGGAATGTCTGTCGTGGTCTGTAATGGCCAATAATGACGAACAAATAGCAATAAAGTGTATTTGATCATGGCTCAATTGAAGAAATTTCTATTGTTTCTTAACTATGTATTTCCATTGTGTGATAGGGTACTGTGATGTATGTGTATAGATTTATCAAGTCTTTTTAAGTATGTGCAGCACTGCAATTTATTGTTAAATATATATACCATGTACATGTTAAAAAAAGTGCTGTTGTTGTGTGCAATTGATTATGAATAAAAAGTAAAATATCATAGGGTAATTTATCATTACGGGTAAGCTGTATATCGTTTATATGTTATAATTAGTGGTATATTTGTTCTTGAAAATTTGTCCTTGTTTGATATGTATATACATGTCCTCATATTTTCAAGTTTCAGCTTACTTGGACCTAATGGTGAGCTGTCGTCAGTACTAATTCTGTTAGCACAAGTTTCGCTATTTTGGGCATGCAAGATTTAGTAAGCATGTGGTATCTTTTGTAATGCAACTCTTAAGTGTCATCTGAAATCACTTGACTATATCATTGCATATTGGACGCATATCATTAATTGGTTTCTTTTTTAAAACTATTATCTGATAAGCCTGGAATGCAACCAAAATCATTTAATATAAAAATAAGGAGACATGGTATGATAACCAATGAGACAAATACCCACCAAATGACGACGATGTAAATGGATATAGGTCACTATACAGACTTCTACAATGAGCAAATCTCAAACTGCATAGTCTACTGCTGTTGAAGGTTCTTATATGACAAAATGTGAAAAAAATGAAACAATTCAAAAGAAACAAGAGTGCACACACTGAAATGTCTTGCCTGCTTTACTGACCATTGATTTTATGTTGAAAGTCTTAAAGATAAAGGTTTTACTAAAAGCATAATTACAGAAACTTAACATTTTTAAAAATCTATGACAATGAGGTCAAGGTCAGATAAATTGTGTCAGACAGACATATACACCTTTTAATTTTTTTATACACCAACTATAGTTGACCTATTGTGTATGCTAATTGAAAAACAGACCAAAACACAGATGATACCTGACAGACAGATATGTGCACCTTACAATTATTCCATACGCCAAATATAGCTGACCTATTGCAATTAGTATTTGAAAAACAGACCAAAACACAAAAACTTAACATTGACCATTGAACCATAAAAATTAGGTCAAGGTCAGATAATACCTTCCAGACAGACATGTACACCTTACAATCATTCCATACACCAAATATAGTTGACCTATTGCTATAAGTATTTGAAAAACAGACCAAAACACAAAACTTAACATTAACCATTGAACCATAGAAATGAGATCAATGTCAGATGATACCTGCTAGACAGACATGTACACCTTACAATCTTTCCATACACCAAATATAGTTGACCTATTGCTTATAGTACTTGAAAAACAGACAATAACACAAAAAACTTAACATTAACCAATGAACCATGAAAATGAGGTCAGGGTCGGATGAAACCTGCTAGACTGACATGTACCAATTACAATATTCCATAGACCAAATATAGTTGACCTACTGCTTATAGTATTTGAGAAACGGACCTAATCAGGTAACTTTAACGTTGATCACTGATCCATTAAATGAGGTCGAGTTCAGGTGAACTCTGTCAAAAAATGCTGGATTGGGCACAAAAGTATTCTGATTACAAATGTACCTAAAATTCCAACCATCTTCGTAAGAGTTTCTTTGCATATTTATTCAAAATATTGTAGGAACTATCATTAGATAGCTTAATACCTATTTTCAGTTTTTTTGTTGCCAATCTAATTTCAGCAAGGTCACCACTATTGGACACAGTTTAACATGAAACTATGAGAAAAACATATACAAATTAAAGCTTCTTAGAAACTCTCTCAAAAATGATTTAAACACAATCTTGCATTACTGAGGTGATCCTATGCTAATTTTGCATTTTTTTTGTCAAACTTAAGATATTACCACCACAGTGGAACACAATAAAGCCATACAAGAAATGTTTACCTACGACTTCTCAGAAACCATATCACACATTAAGATCCAAATCATGTACCTAGGGTGTTCTACTACTTTTGAATCATGGTATAGAAATAAGCAGATGTGGTATGATCGATAAGTTTACCCGGATCGTTTCCAAATTTCCGGGCTCGGTAAACAACATCTCCGTAAAAACGTTACAACAGACACGGGCATAGCGAACGAGTTGTGATATATAAACACCGTAAGATGGTGTCAAAGAAATATCACCGTCCAAAAATGGAAAATTAACAATAGGGAACGAAAAATCGTCACTTTTGTCGTAAATTTTAGCGTCGAGTTTTCCCGTGTAAAACTGAAATATCTAAACCTAGGAAAGGACAGTTATTACTGTTTATATTTGATTTATTTAAAGTAAGTTCCTTTGGGTAAATTTCGGCAGTGTATATAGAAAATTCTTGATTATTTAACATATCCAAAAACAAAGGTGACTACAGTGGAATAATATGTAAACATACGAATCGACAGAAAATCCATTAAAAAAAGCTGTTCTCCAACATTAAATAAATGACAATATCAGGTTCGACATTAAAAGCTGCTCTGATTGCCCAGGAAAAATCGAAATTATCATTGGGCAAATAAAAACTGCTGTGTAGTTATGAGCAAGTAACAGAGCCACTTTGTTAATTTTTCTCAGAATAATGCCAAAAACAAAAGCCTTAAGTTGAATTTTATAAGATTTTATGTCCTTAAATTTGGCAGTGAGTAAATTTGGACAAGTGGTTGTCTCTTTAGGACAAGTAATATATCGAAATCGATCATATGTTGAAAAAGTTAATGTTGAACCCTGCACTTTGCTGATTTTGATCTTTTGCTACTTATCTAAAATCCTAGATGAATGTCACTGTAGAATAGTTTGATATTGGGCTCTATGAGGCAAATATGGAAATAGATCAAAAGCATCTGGTGGGGCACAACCCATGTATAAACTCTGTGTAAAAACACTGTCAAAACACTAACACTAAACAAACAATTACTATCCACACTGATCTGTGTCCACACTTGTTACAAACTGTAGCCTTATAATCAAAGTCCGATAATTAAGTTATGACGTCTCAGAAGACTTTTTTATATTTTGCCTGGAAAACTTCATACGAATTAATACGGCGTCCAACCAAATTTAAAATGGAGTTCCAAAAGTCATATCTAATTGAAAAGTACCATTGTTGCTGAGTTCCGAGAGGATTTAAATGGATCTTCATAATTTTTATGTAACTTAGAATTCTGTTCAAATGTAAATACAAAATAAACCTGTATGGATAAGGATGTAATGGAACCATAAGTGGCACTTGAAAGCTTTTACGCACACACATAATATTTAATTGGTTTAGACCAGGAAGAAGTATGACTAAATATCACAACAAACTACAGTAATTAAAACCACATTAATGGTACTCAAAAGTATTGGGTTGCTATTTCTAATTAAAGACACAGTATTTGCATCTCTGATCGAACTGACATCTCTCTTGATTATCTTTATCTTTTAGCCCCAGTAAAAGTAAAATGATCGATTTTGACAAAATGTTATTTGTACTTAAGGTAGATGCATGGGGTTCTAAATCAAAATCCATAGAAGTTTTTGATAATTTGCAAACATTTAATTTATATCATGGCTTTCGCAAATATAAAAGTATGGGTCACGGGGCTTTTTTTCAAGCCACAGGGTTGTGCAAAACTGTCAGATTGTGTATACATTATTCATGGAAAACACAATTTTGGGAGATAGAAAGAAAACTAAATCATCTAATTTTTCAGCTCTAATGATGGGCTTTCAAAATATAAATAGAAAAAATAGGGTCACGGGATTCGTTTTCTTGCTAAAAAACATAATAGCTTAATTCATAACACATTCCAGTGTAAAAGTTGCAATATCTGAGTTATCTCCCCTTATAGGGCAAAGCTGAAAATATTGAATCAAACAGAACATATTCTGTATTTAACATAATTTTATTTCTTAATTTGTCAAAAATCAAACTTTGATCTGACCCTAAAAAAAGATAACCCATGATGATTTCTTTTCAATTTCATGGACAAAACTTGTGTAAATATTTATCATGATTTTATGTCTAAATAAACAATATAAATATTTATATTTGTTTTTATTTCAGCTAGATTCCAATTCTTGGCTTTAATATCCTAGAAGTGACAAGACATACATGTACAATACATGATTCTATCTAGTAGCTGCATTGACTAGTCATCACAATAATTCCATGACAGCTATGAAACTCTAGACCTTTTTGATGTTTTGAATATATTTATATACATGTACAGATATCATCAAAGTACACGTACTATGAAGATTTTTACCTGGTCTCATCATATGACGACTAGTCAGACAAATTTTGGTTCAGGTGTCTGACAGGAATTATTACAAAATTGCCAGGGATTACAACACATGAATATTATTTGTCATGCAGTTTACTGTAACAGTCAAGCTATTTTTGAGGCTGTCTAATGATACTTTCAGAACTATGATATTTCTGTGTAACTGTTACTACATTGTATTATTGCACACTATTAATATATATACAAGTAGTAACCCAGATATCAGTTATATAAAGATAGTTTGAATACATCATGATGATACAATGTACAGATACATGAAATATGTTTTATAAAGTATGTAAGAAATGAAGAATATAAAAATATTAAAAAAAGACAGGCAAAATATTTGTATGAAATTTGATGTAAATGTAATAGGTTGGACACTTAGAAGTACAATAATGTAAAAATAAATTAAATGCATTTCTAGCCCAACAACATCAGCATTTTGTGTAATATGATCCATGCATGATAAACAATAAAATTACACCACCTCAGATTGTTCCCAGTATTATTAAATCAGTTAGTGTACGGAGTGACACCTGCTGATCTAACTAAAAATGCTAATGTGGCATATGAAAACTCCTAGTACATAGTGGAATTAAACTATACACCACTGTGGAAAACCTTAATTCTGATGACATTATTCCTGCATAAGTTAAATTCATTCATCAGCTGTATTGAGAAGTTGATAGAAGTAAGCATCTGTATGTCACATACGGCCTGTAACAATGAGCAAAACCCATACCGCATAGTAAATGGCCTTGAAATGACAAATGTAAAACAATTCCAACAAGAAAACTAGCGTCCTGATTTATGTACAAATCAATAATGAAAAACAAATATGATAAACAGCAACAAATGACAACCACTGAATGACTTTGGACAGACACACACTTAATCTGGCAGGGTTAAACATGTTTACTGGCGCCAAACCTTCCCATTACCTGGGACAGTGTACATACATCTTCTCAGACATTCAATCATCGAAAGGATACATATTTTAAAGTAATTAAAAAAAAAGATAAACGTTTGAAAACAAATGGTATATTTTTAGAGAAAAGTGTGTAGGATAGTGGAAATCAGTACAGCACATGTATAAAAAAAAATCTGAAACATGAGATATAACAAGCTGTGATAAACAATTAAAGCAACACTGCCAAAGTTTTCATCATGTTTTTAATTAACTGCCTATAGCGCTAACAGTGCTTTGATTTTTTTTCTTTCTATCATACAATACGTATTTACTTATTAGCTTAGCCAAACCATTTTATAAAAGTGCACGACTTTCGTAAGCGTAAAGAGGTAAAGACAATTCCTCCTCTCAAGGGGTCAAAATCCGAAAGATAATGGTACTTTGTTAAACTTGCACATCATAGATTAAGAGTAATGTAATTTACTAGTAACTTATTAAAAAATGGGAAAAAAACACGTTATAAATTTCATGCGTCCACAGCGCTTTTCTGGATTTACCTTCATCAGGAACGCTCAAAGCCGAATATTTGAAAGCCAAGGATGTATAAGAACTGAAAAAGTTGAAGAGTTATATGACAAAAAACAAACTAAAAAAAATAGCCAAATCCATCTAAGGTCAACTTTGCCAATTAGAACTTTTTATAGGAGTAACTCGACGAATGTCACATGTGGGGTAGGATCTGCTAACCCTTCCGAATCCCCCTAGATCATCGCGGTTTTTGGCAGGGGTTCGTGTTACTCTGTCTTCAGATTTCTATAGTGTGTTTTATTAACTGTTGTTTATCTTGTGGTCGTTTTTCGTTTTTTTAACGTGTTTGAATATTCCTTTGGTATCTTTCGCTTCTCTTTTAAAGGTACCAAAAGTTATACATGTAATTATGAATTAATGTAAAATGAAATGATATAAAATGTTATTCTATTTTGTTAAAGCGAAGGATCAAGGATCGATGCAATGTGCAATTACGTTTTACAATTTTTATTAAATTTTTTTTGTTTCTTTGTTTTCTTATTTTTTTATATGGAGTTGCTATAGCAGTGACAGAATATAAGAAAAATCATGTTTCAAAAGATAAACTATGAACTTGTTTTGTTTTATAAATTAAGACGATTTAAGTTAACCGATGTTTAAATCTCGTAAATCGCAAATCGATTAAGAAGAAACAAATTACGGTAACAAACAAACCCTGACGGAATCGTATGATTTCCAAAAAGGAACAAGACCTGGTACATCGACAAGGGATTCGTTTCCTGCTATACACGCATAACTATCAGTGCGAATTTACACTGAGTCAGCATGTCAAAATATGACACAATATGTAAAATACAGATCCGACGACTATATTGCTGTCTTAGGATCTAGGAACGCGAAAAAATGTCGCTAGTCAGTTGGGACACCGACACATTGTATCGGTCAACCAATTCGTGATGGTGAACGCAAAAACATTTAGAAGTGTCGATTTTACTCGTTCTTCCTCAACACTCTGTTTGAGCAGTTGAGGTGTAAATAAAGGAGAACACCCCTATTAACGAAGACTGTATAGTGCAAACATGCACGAGGGTAACGTATAAACTATGATATGTAATTGCGATACGACGAAGCATAGGGAATATTACTGCTGTGGTATTGTTCGCCTCTATTTTACTGCTGAGCAATGAGAAGTTAACAATTGGAAAGTGAAATAATCACGTTTGTCATAGTTTCTAGTTTAAGGTCGTTCTTTATGTGTCTTTCTGAATAGTTCTTATTTCCCTTATGATATAGAGGAATAATTGACTTTAAGGCGAATGTTTTCCTCAAACATTATTTCAATTTTCATCTTAAATGATGAAAATCAAATGTTGAGTCCTTTTGGTTCATCAGACTCATGCATTTAAAGAAATTAATAGACATTTTCAGCTTAGCCAACAGATGAAGGTAACTTATGAATTAGTCAGATTTTTTGAAAAAGGTTTGTTTTTATAATAAAGTTGTGACTTAATATTTGACTTGCAGCAATTCATATGCATGTATTAGAAAATTTTGATAGTATTGTAAGACATTTTACCGCAACTTAGACCTGCAGTCAATAAAGGATACACGCCTTCTGTGCTATGATTGCTTCGCATCACGGTACGGAGCTATTAGTTTCAGTCGATATACACGCCATCTTGAAATAATTACTTATCACATAAAGATTCTGATTGGTTGCTTTATGATTCGGCTGAGATACAGCAACAGCTATTGGCTTAAATGAGATAAAGAATTATAGACTTTTCTCGTCTCAGGATAAGACATCAAATGCCGGAAAATTAACTATGTGTATTTCAGTTCCGATCAAGTGTTATTAATTCATGTTCGTTTTATTATGCAAATATTGCACACTGAAATTCAATATTGAAATAACAATTTTTAACACCTGTTTATTTGCTTTGTTAATCTGTAATATGCACGATTTGTTTAGCTAAACAATGTTCATATACAATGTTTACAAAAATGCATTATCTGTATTTTATAACTTCTGTCAATCTGAAAGGCACACCTCGAGAGTCGTGTTTTGTAAATGTTTTGAATTTCAACAAGTAAATCGAATTTTTTTTTAAAAGCATGGGAGTATAACGTACAACACTGAACAGCCAGTTTAAAATTTTAGAAAAGTTCATCTTAATATATATACAAAAATTGATATTCCAAGTCTAAGACATCCATTTTATATCAGTCAATATCTAACTAAAAATACTACATTTCCAATGCTAAATCAACAACCACATGCACACGTGTTACCTTAAATTAGGATAGAGCGAAGCAGTCCACAGCTTTTTAAAAAGCTCAAACTTGTTAGATCTTAGGATTTGGTCTATACCCTTTATCTTGTAATTGAAATACATTGAAAGGCATTCGATCTAAGTATAATAAACAGCAAAATAAAGAAGACATTTCGTAATAAGATATCTCATACTTGAGACATGGTTCGAAAGCGTTCATCCTGTTTATCATTACTTTTTCACTTTACATCCTGATTTACATGTATAATGTCTATATATATATATATATATATATATATATATATATATGATTTATTTAGATTCACAGAGGAGGCAAACGTAGCGAGGTAGAGATTGTTTCAACAACACTGCCACGTGAAATAAGGTATTTATCTTTTTTTATGTACAAATATTATTATAAGAATTATTCATGTACGTATGTGATACACCGTACACTTGAAATCTTTGTTTTTAGCTCACCTGGCCCTTCGGGCCAAGTGAGCTTTTCTCATCCTTGGCGTACGTCGTCCGTCGTCCGTCGTCGTCGTCGTTAACTTTTTACATTTTGAACTTCTTCTAGATAACCACTGAATGGAATGAAACCAAACATGGCATGAATGTTTCTTATGAGGTGCTGACCAAGTGTTGTTACTTTGAAGCCGATCCATCATCCAAGATGGCCGCCAGCGGGGGACTTAGTTTAACATAGGACCCTATGGGAAATACATACAAATGTTTTCTTTTAGAGAACCACTGAATGGAATGAAACCAAACATGGCATGAATGTTCCTTATGAGGTGCTTACCACGTGTTATTACTTTGAAGCCGATCCATCATCCAAGATGGACGCCAGCGGGGGACTTAGTTTAACACAGGACCCTACGGGAAATACATGCAAATGTCTTCTATTAAAGAACCGCTGAATGGAATGAAACCAAACATGGCATGAATGTCCCTTTTGAGGTGCTGACCAAGTGTTGTTACTTTGAAGCCGATCCATCATCCAAGGTGGCCGCCAGCGGGGGACTTAGTTTAACATAGGGCCCTATGGGAAATACATACAAATGTCTTCTTTTAGAGAACCACTGAATGGAATGAAACAAAACATGGCATGAATGTTCCTTATGAGGTGCTGACCAAGTGTTGTTACTTTGAAGCCGATCCATCATCCAAGATGGCCGCCAGCGGGGGACTTAGTTTAACATAGGACCCTTTGGGAAATACATACGAATGTCATCTTTTAGAGAACCACTGAATGGAATGAAACCAAACATGGCATGAATGTTCCTTATGAAGTGCTGACCAAGTGTTTTACTTTGAAGCCGATCCATCATCCAAGATGACCACCAGCTTGGACAGTGTTTAACAAAGGACCCTATGGACAATACATACAAATGTCTTCTTTTAGAGAACCACTGAATGAATTGAAACCAAACATGGCATGAATGTTCCTTATGAAGTGTTGTTACTTTGAAGCAGATCCTTCATCCACGATGGCCGCCAGCGGGGAGACTTCCTTTAACATAAGACCCTATTGGAAATACATACAAATGCTTCTTCTAGAGGTGCACTGAATGGAATGAAACCAAATATTGCATAAATGTTTCTTATGAGGTGCTGATGAAGTGTTGCTACTTTGTTGCTCATTTACTTTTCAAGATGGCCACCAGGATTTTTTATTAAATTACAGGGCCAATATTAAACTAAATTTGGCCTCACTCATTATTAGGGTATCTGTTATGATTTTTATCTATTTTAAAATGATTTCCAAAAACCAAAGTAGAATCAGGTGTGCGACACAGGCTCTTGAGAGCCTCTAGTTTAATTTTTATTGTCTTATTTGTTTTGTTTGCATATGTTCATTTTTCCATTCTTCGCTTAATTTTCTTGTTCAAATTCTATGAGGCAAAGTTGGGACATATGAATTTGGCTATTCTTAATAGGTTCCTAATTGTCATATAGTGCCTAAAGATTCTAAACATTTACACAACCCCGACTTTCAAATGGTCAGGTTTGCGTTTCTTCATTAGGAACGCAAACTTCATATATTCTTTGTCCTTTTTGTTTTGTTTGATATTCATAATAAATATTTTACTTCTATATTGCATGTTATTTCATTTTCAATGTTGATTGAATTAATAGCATACCGATGCACATAGTAAAAACTTTTCTTGTAATTTTTGTAAAATTAATAATAAACCAATGTGTTATGCTTGCAAACGGGTTCCAAACGAGACTTTGATACCGAATGCAAATATACTAATATCAAAATAATTTTCATTTTCATACTTTTAAGTTTTTTGTAATATTGTACGATGTAATTCCACTATTTCTCACATTAATTTGTCGACTTTTGTATTAGATATCGAATATGAACAAGATTGCCTTCCTTTGTTTGCTCTATACCATGTTGCTGATAATACCAGGACCGATTTTAGGAAAAGCTTTAGCTAAGACTAAGGTTGGAAAAGAAAAACGTACAGCTGCACTACTACCATTGGCATCCTACGCAGGAATGACAGTGTCAGCACCTGTTTTTCTTGCCTTGGTAGCAACCTATGGGATTTATGCTGTCATAAGTTATGCAATCCGTAAGTATGCTTATATCTTTTGAAGATTCTTGATATTTTGATCCATGTCTCCATATTTCTGTTCTTTCCAAGGTACATAATTGTAAAGAATATTACGAAGTATGAGAGTTTTCTGTCAAACGTTTTCATAGGTGTTTCATTAACAGGGTATCAATGTTGTACAATAGTCGAAAAAAAAATTGAAAGTTCCATAATTATCGTAAAAATTATCGGATGATAATTACGATAAGATATGTTTTATTATACATGAGGGCAATAATCCTACTAAGTATGACAGCGTTCGTTAATACGATGTCAAAGGAGGTGCGTTCACAAGTTGTTGTTGTGGTGCAGGACGTTAGTCCAAAAATAGCCAAAGTTCCATAACACCATTATAAATGGTCGAATCAAAATAAAGGTAAATAAGAGACAACTACACAATACAAGAAACAATCCTACCGAGAATGAGAGTTTTCTGTAAATCAATATAAGAGAAGTTTCGTTCCAAAGGCGTCATCGTGTAACAAAAGTGCAAACAAACTGTCAGAGTAAAAATGAATTGAGGTAATCAAATATTGCCATTGTGAGTATATTTGTTAAATTATGTTCAGGAAAATATGATGAAAAATAATCCTTCTAAGTATCCGTACTTTCTATCAAATGGTCTCTGTGTAATGCTGTGTTGTAGACGCATGGACGGATGAAGACACTATGTTCCCTGCGACGGGAAACAATGAACAAATACCGGTAATAACAATGTTGTGACTTGTTGTAATGATGTTTTACAGGGTCAAGAGGGGACAGTGACAGTCATTCCTGTGCCAATAACAGAGGATGGTGTAGACGAAGATGTCAAAGTCACGAGATGGTAGACTTGTATCATACTGACATTTGTGGATCGTACTATTGCTGTCGTCCAACCAATTTATAATGAGGAGCAAAATATATTGACTTGTAACGATCTTCATTTCCTTCATTTTTTTACATGCACTTTTTCTACTTATTATTTTTTTTTCTTATTATTAAAACATATGTAATTAAAAACCACTTTTTTCAAAAATATTGCTAAATATTGTTTAATTACTTATTCTACATAGCATCTAAAATACTGAACATTTAATAGAAAAGCAAAGGATATTGGGTATCCATTCATGACACAAAATCAATACATGAACAGAAAAAAAAAACACAAAAAGCAAAGGAACAGCGCTTTTATTACTGTTCTTCATCTCAAAGTCACAGTGAGGCCTTCAACACGGAACAAAACAAAAAAAAAACTCTCACCTCACTGCAAGTTTAAGACGGCCACTAGCACCGGTTTGAGCGGAATTCGTTGCAAAAATAATTTGGATAGACTTTGTAAGACGCAACACCACCTAATCGGGCCCGGTCAAAAAAGAACATACTGGAAAGTAGTACATATTTAAAACAAAATAGTTCATACGCATAGGTGTAAATCTAAAACTATGTAGCATATATTTTAGTAATTAAGGTATTAGATGAAAGGTGAAGGACTGGTGATCCTTGTAAAACACATAATTTACTGATAATTTTTAATAATACAAAAATGTATGAATGAATTCTAAAATTGAGGGCATATATTGCCTGTTTCTCAGATATGAAATGACTGGTTTGGTGTATCCAAAATTCCGGTAACCAGTGCAGTACGGTCTGATGTATAAATACAAGTATATTGATCCCGCTTCCATAAATTGTTTTGAAGTGAATAATTTAACGTGGATAGGGATGAGGACCAAGAATAGTAGGTGTGCGTCTTTTCAAAATTTTAGTACACAAACTGGCCTAAAATTGAGAGAATGATGTGGCACACATAAGAGAAGTTATCTCAAGAATAAATACACCATAACTTTAAAAATACAGAAGAGTATGAATACATGAATGAATAAATATGGGTTAATAAGTAATAGGTCAGACACTTATAACACAATACACCACAGCAGATACACAGATGTCACCCTCCAAACCGTTGACAAGCTCTATATAACCACGATTCTAGGCCAATCATGAGAAATGGAAGTATAGTTTTGACCCCTAAAATATCAAAAACAGTATTTTTTTTCTATTTTCTAACTTTTTCAAAGCAAAAGTGGTGTACTCTGGTTTTCAGTCTATAATTTTAAAAAAAGAGAAAAAGAATTGTATTAGGGAACTGGTGGATACTAAATCACCGTTTATAATTGTCAAGAAAAAGACAAGCGTTTTGTTTGGTGTTTTGTTATCGAACCGAGTCAATAGACAAGTTTTTGAGACGTAAATAGGTGTACATTAAAGATCAGCCATTAGAAAAAAAAAACTATTGCAAAGGACAAAAACACTAAGTAATTGAAAATAGATAACCTTTTAACATTTTCATAAGCATGATTCATGTTAAGAAACAGTTGACATGCATTGTTCTATAGGAAATCCAATTTAATATCGAACTTCATTGGAACCCATCGGCATCAACACGACTTCAGAAGAGGTATGGCCATTACTTCCTTTTTTTTCACTGCTGAGTCAAAGCACGAATGTTGATGAATCCTACTGGAATTTGAATTTCTAGAGCACGAACGATATAATTTTTACAACAATTTTCTACATAAACACAAATATAATAGGCCAAAAATTCACCCGTGTTCTTGTTAAAGTAGATCATCACTAAATATTTCCTCATATATACTTTTCTTATACTTTGCCAAAAATATAGATTTTACCATGCTTATTTCAAAAATATGATAAAAATTATGGGTCACTTTGCTATTTTGCAAGCTAAAAAAATCCTAATTTTACACAGATTATTCATGAAAAAACACTTTTTGGTGAATAGAAAGAGATCTATCAGATATAATTTTGATATAAAATATAAGAAGATAGACTTTACAATATGCTTTTAGAAAATAAAAATAAAAAAAAACTTGTTTTCTTGCTACAAGTGAAAAATGAAAAATTCATTAACATTCATATACCAAATTATACTATGAGATTTATCTCCCCTTATATGACATATGACTAAGTTGAAAAATTGAATCGAACAGAACAAGATTACATATGAATGAATATATATACAAATATTTGATATTTGTAAAAACAATCACTTAATTTTCTTTATTCAAATTAGCAGTCTTACATATAGATAGCTATTTCGTCTCAAAATTTGCAGATTTAAGCAAAGATCTAGACCGATTGCGTGCTGTCATTTCATTTTACAATCCAAGATAAACATTTAATCTACCTTAAATTTTATATAATTAGATGAAATAATATACTTTAACTAAACGAATTCATTCATATCTTAAATATACTAAATATTTTTATTTTCGATAAAACTTTGGTTTATGGTTCAGAATTTCTATATCGTTTAGTGTAGGGTAAATATTCCAACATTTGCTAAAATCTTTCAAAATGGAAATTTCGAGTCACTGTTAGGCATTTGAAGAAAAGATTTTATGTTCAGAAAGATGATAAATGTTGATGCAAACTCCATGTTAACAGAACTAGCTACTTAACTTAGAATTAGGTAATTTAAGGCTTAAAAAACATTTGGGAAATTTCCTTAGTGTGAAAGAATTCTTGAAACTTTGGCACTATCTTTCCCTATAAATACAATTGTATTTGGGACATTGAAACCTCTTGCAAAACCAATCTTTAAAACCCTTATTCGGTATGGGGAAGAACCAAAATGCGTATGGAATATGGATATTTTTTGTATTAAGCCAAAATTTTACTTTTTACTATAAAGATCAATAATCCAAGAGCTAGGAAATTTACTATACCTGGCTTTTTGTAAAGAACTGTTACATAAAAAAATCATAAGTCCATTATAATTATTACATCGAATATGTATATTGTTCCCGATTAAAGTCAACACAAGAAACTACTTAGTACTGCTTTAATTTGTCCATTTACAAATCAAAAGTTTTGAATAAGTTTAATCATCACCTGATTATCATTGAAATGTGTCCTCTTTCATTTTGAGGTTCGGCTTCTTTTCGACTCATTCTCTTCTTTACGGCACAAATAAACATTTGACAAATAAACAGAGCTCCTGCAAAACAGGTTAAATTCTTTCCATGCAAATTACGCAATTCTGGTTAAGCAAGGTGGACAAAAATAGTGAAGAATAAACATAGCAAAGACAAAAACAAGGAGATATCTTCAACCAAATACCACGCAGTATCTCTTTTCGGATTATGATTATGCATTTTTGTACAGTTTTGGAATCTCCGTTATTTCAGAACAATTAATATATTCTTCACAAACATTTCTTATTTCTGTTTACATATCAAAAGTTTTGGTTAAGTTTAATCATCGCCTGATTATCATTGAAATTTGTCCCCTTTCATTTTGATGTTCGGCTTCTTTCTGACTCATTCTCTTCTTTACGGCACCAATTGCTCGATTGTTGAATAAGACAGTTGATAAAAATATCAAAATGCCTTGAAAGTTTAGTAGAAGAGCGGAAATCTGACGGAAGATATCTCCAAAGAAATGAACCATAAAGAAAATTATCCAGGCCAAACCACATACTACTGAAAGTTTTCCGTAGAAAATACATTTGAAGCGGTCGCTTTTTCTTTTCTTAATTCCTGTAGACGTTAAATATAAAACTACTTAGTACTGCTTTAATTTGTCCATTTACAAATCAAAAGTTTTGAATAAGTTTAATCATCACCTGATTATCATGGAAATGTGTCCTCTTTCATTTTGAGGTTCGGCTTCTTTTCGACTCATTCTCTTCTTTACGGCACAAATAAACATTTGACAAATAAACAGAGCTCCTGCAAAACAGGTTAAATTCTTTCCATGCAAATTACGCAATTCTGGTTAAGCAAGGTGGACAAAAATAGTGAAGAATAAACATAGCAAAGACAAAAACAAGGAGATATCTTCAACCAAATACCACGCAGTATCTCTTTTCGGATTATGATTATGCATTTTTGTACAGTTTTGGAATCTCCGTTATTTCAGAACAATTAATATATTCTTCACAAACATTTCTTATTTCTGTTTACATATCAAAAGTTTTGGTTAAGTTTAATCATCGCCTGATTATCATTGAAATTTGTCCCCTTTCATTTTGATGTTCGGCTTCTTTCTGACTCATTCTCTTCTTTACGGCACCAATTGCTCGATTGTTGAATAAGACAGTTGATAAAAATATCAAAATGCCTTGAAAGTTTAGTAGAAGAGCGGAAATCTGACGGAAGATATCTCCAAAGAAATGAACCATAAAGAAAATTATCCAGGCCAAACCACATACTACTGAAAGTTTTCCGTAGAAAATACATTTGAAGCGGTCGCTTTTTCTTTTCTTAATTCCTGTAGACGTTAAATATAAAACTACTTAGTACTGCTTTAATTTGTCCATTTACAAATCAAAAGTTTTGAATAAGTTTAATCATCACCTGATTATCATGGAAATGTGGCCTCTTTCATTTTGAGGTTCGGCTTCTTTTCGACTCATTCTCTTCTTTACGGCACAAATAAACATTTGACAAATAAACAGAGCTCCTGCAAAACAGGTTAAATTCTTTCCATGCAAATTACGCAATTCTGGTTAAGCAAGGTGGACAAAAATAGTGAAGAATAAACATAGCAAAGACAAAAACAAGGAGATATCTTCAACCAAATACCACGCAGTATCTCTTTTCGGATTATGATTATGCATTTTTGTACAGTTTTGGAATCTCCGTTATTTCAGAACAATTAATATATTCTTCACAAACATTTCTTATTTCTGTTTACATATCAAAAGTTTTGGTTAAGTTTAATCATCGCCTGATTATCATTGAAATTTGTCCCCTTTCATTTTGATGTTCGGCTTCTTTCTGACTCATTCTCTTCTTTACGGCACCAATTGCTCGATTGTTGAATAAGACAGTTGATAAAAATATCAAAATGCCTTGAAAGTTTAGTAGAAGAGCGGAAATCTGACGGAAGATATCTCCAAAGAAATGAACCATAAAGAAAATTATCCAGGCCAAACCACATACTACTGAAAGTTTTCCGTAGAAAATACATTTGAAGCGGTCGCTTTTTCTTTTCTTAATTCCTGTAGACGTTAAATATAAAAC